GATGGCATCTAGTATTAAATCTAGTGGGACATTTGTAAGTAAGGATATAACGTCTAGGCTAATTAGTTTATAATTATAGGGAATGGAAATGTTATTCAGATGTTTGACATGCTCGAACGAATTTTTTATGTAATATGTAATGTAATACAGTAAAAAATCTTAAGTGAATTCATAAACAATCACAAGACTCTAATCAATACTAGAATTTAAGAGATAATAAAATCAATCATTTTTACATACTAATATAACTAATTAATCTTAATCATTATTTTCATCATTATTTTTATAATCACATTTTTATTGTAACTTTACCATAACACCATAACTACTTGAAGCAATGTTGAAAAATCATGTAATTTTTTGCAAAACGTGGCGACATGTTCGAGCCTCACAAATTTTATTAATCCATCTCCCTCTATCTGACATAATAAAATAATTTCCTACCCTACTCTAGGTACTAAGATAGTTTTTAAGAAATTCATCCTCAATCTGTGCGAAAAACTTGAACCGTGAACATCAAACAAATAAATACTATACTATTTTTAAAGGTCTGATATAGCCATTCTAATAATAAATTATATCTGGTGCTTCGGGGTGGTAAAGTGTCCGTGTGTAGTGATTTTTAACTTCCCGTAGGGTAAGTTATTGTAATCGTCCAAAAATCGAAATCGAAAATTTTTGCATTTCTGGACGTTTTGAAAGTTTTTGAACATTTTGGCATACTTCAGAAAAAATGAATGTGTGTCCACATTCTCGGAATCAACGGATCAACCGATTTGAATGGTTAAAAAAACATTCGATTCGTATTGATAGGGATCTGATTAGTTTTTGGCAAAGGCAGGTCCAGCAGTTACGGAGATAAAGAACAAAGAGTGCAGAAAATAGAAATCGAGTATTTGAATGATCTAAAAAACATTCAATTAGTAATGATTTGTAGAAGTGGTTATTAGTTTTTGGCAAAGACAGGCCCAGCCATTCCAAAGATACAGAGCTGAATGTGCAAAAAATGGCAGTTTTTGAGAGAACTAAGCGTCCAATTTAAATGATTCAAAGAACTTTCTGCTTGTTTCAACAAAAAAAATTTGGGAAAAAAAATTTTTTTTTCAAATTTTTCTCTTCAGAAAATTTTTTTGTATATCGAAAATATTTCAGATTTTATTTTTAATTCTGACTAAAGTTCTAATATACTTTAAACAAATAATTTCAACTGTGCAATTCAGTTTATATAATTCTTATAAATATTAGACAATGCTACAAAATTTTACCAGACAGTTTATAAAGCGCAAGGGTTTAGTTATAGTTTTAACTAAACCTCCTTGCAATAAAAACTGGATTAAAACGATAGATAGGTTTGAGCTACAATTGGTATAAATTAAAAGTAGTTCAGGGTTTTGGTTACTTACGTTTAAAAAACACTTATACAGAAACTGTTCAAAGATTTCGTCAAATATAACTTTATTAATGATTGATTAGATAGCAAAATAACTATTAAATGGAGAGATAACAAACAAGAATGTCTTGTAAATGAATTTTAATCCTAGGAATTTAGTTTTATCTCAATTTGGATATCAATATATATATATATATATATATATATATATATATATATATATATATATATATTGTTTTTAGGATTATTTTGTTTGGAAAGTATTCATTCCTTTTTAAAAATGTGCTGTTCTTTTTATCCTTTTAAATTATTGCATTACTTGTCATTCCTTCTAAATTTGTCATTCCATCATCAATACTCCTGCGCTTTTTACTTCTTAGTTTTTAAGTTTTTAATATATTATTATTAGTCATTAAGTAATTAATATGAATAAGTTATTTCTAGAATAATAATAGAATAAGTACTTTAAAATAATATCTGTAATATACTTTAATTAATAGTAGTCAGTTATTTCTGTTTAGTTTATAATTTTTCAAAAATATGTCTGTGATATATTTGAAAATACATTTTGTATTTCGTATGTTTTGTTCTTATTTCAAATAATTAATTTTTTTTCAGATTTTTGGGCTGTATTGATTTTATGTACAAATGTAGAAGTAATACCAGGGGTTAATTTACATACTGTATGTACATGTGCTGCCATGTAGTGATCTTTTCGTAAATTAAAATGAGTGTAACGTCAAATGGCCCAAGATAACGATCTATTTATGCTTATTTATCTATGGTCATCGCCCTCTTAATTTCGTCGTAGGTATAAGTGGCGTATTCTGCTTTGCAGCACCTGTCAATTTAGATATCATTAATACCGCCATCTTCCTCTTAGTCACGTCGTACGTATCGCGTACGGCTTCAATACGCTTGAACCGTGAGTTCACACATTGTTCCGCCGAACCTCCAAATTCTGGCAGCATCGCCAACAACTCACTGCTAGTTATATCCTCCACTTTATTACTATTCATAGACTTGATTAAATTTATCAGATCGGTCAATGAGAGCAGGCTCAGAGCTTCTGGCGCCATGCTTTCATTATTAACTCCTGTAGCCATTTTATTTTAAATCTTTAAATTTCTCCACAATCCTGCATTTCTCCACATAACTGTTACTGCACCTTAACTAAATAATATCGCTAGCACGCCTTGCTTGCCATATTTTCACCATACTGTTCACCTTAGTCAGCCACGTGCTAAACTAACTTTTATACTTTTTGCCGAAACAAACACAAAACACCACACTTGGTCTGATAGCGTCGCACACCTGCTTACTATCGCAACCCTCGTAATTATCAATCCACCTGATTAATAATACCCGCACTTGTAATTATTGGAATCACCTATTCCAATAATAACTTCAACTAAAAATCACACACTAATTATCTCCGTAATTATCGGTAATTATCACAGTCAAATCCCACTTCTGAAACTATTGTCTATTCTCTATATTTAATTATTTGTCAGTAATCTTTAACTTTTATTCAATATCTCTCCAGTCCGTCTCTACGCATTCACTCTGTTCAACTCTCTGTTTCCGACTCGCATACATTCACTCTGCTCGTACAGTCACTATAGCCAACTGCACACACAACTCAAGTCTTACCAACCAACCGCACGGACAGTCATGATCCGCGCCATATTCAAACATCCATTCAAACATTCACACAATATATTTCGCTACCAATATATATATATATATATATATATATATATAATATATAAATATATAATATATATATATATATATATATATATATATATATTAGGGAGGGCCAATTTTTTGCATATTGAGGCACCTCGCTAATTTAACTTATTACATCATTTGAAACAATATTGTAAAAAAAGCATAACCCGCAAATGAATTTAAAGTCAGCGAAAAATTTAAAACATTTTTAAATATATTATGACATATATCGAGTTATACATCATTTTATTCGTAATTTTATTCTGCATCTTTCGTACGAACAAAGTTTTTTCGTATCTTTTATGGTTTAGATAGTATAGAGCAATCTGTGTAGTTGTTAACTTGTCAAAATGCAAAGTGCGGTTAGGTTGAAGCAACACTCCTCACGATTCGATATTTCTCTAAAGAAAACATATAAAGTATTATACATCATTAGAAAGGTCTCAAAATTCTTAGTTCTTTTTCCATATATCACAACTTCGAATTTTGCACGGTGTGGCCTACAGGCGAGTTGCCGTCGTGAAAATTCGGGAAAATCGGAAAATCTAGAGAAAATTATATGAACACACCTAACCATTTATATACCATTTTATTCGTAATTTTATTCTGCATCTTTCGTACGAACAAAGTTGTTTTGTATCTTTTACCGTTTAGATAGTATAGAGCAATCTGTGTAGTTGTTAACTTGTCAAAATGCAAAGTGCGGTTAGATTGAAGCAACACTCCTCACGATTCGATATTTCTCTATAGAAAACATATAAAGTATTATACATCATTAGAAAGGTCTCAATATTCTTAGTTCTTTTTCCATATATCACAACTTCGAATTTTGCACGGTGTGGCCTACAGGCGAGTTGCCGTCGTGAAAATTCGGAAAAATCGGAAAATCTAGAGAAAATTATATGAACTCACCTAACCATATATATACCAGTTTATTCGTAATTTTATTCTGAAATAAGTTTTTTGAATCATTCAAATCGGATGCTTAGTTCTCTCAAAAACTGCCATTTTTTACACATTTAGCTCAGTATCTCCGAAACGGCTGGACCTGCCTTTGCCAAAATCTAATCACCACTTCTCCCTGTCATTACGAACTCAATTTATATTTTCTGCACTTTTGCTCGTATCTCCAAAACGGCTGGATCTGCCTTTGCCAAAAACTAATCAGCACATCTCCCTATCAATAGGAATCGAATGTTTTTTTAACCATTCAAATCGGTTGATCCGTGGCCCGAAAACGTGGACGAAAAATTGTATCCATACATACAAACACACACACACGCACACACATACACATCCATTTTTTCTGAAGTATGCCAAAATGTTCGGAAATATATCAAAACGTGAAGAAATGTAAAAAAATTCAATTTAGCTGTTTGGACGATTACAATAACTTGCACTACGAGAAGTTAATAAAGATTTGTTATTCTACTTTTTTTGATCTTTTTCAATACATATATATCTTATATAATGCAATGTGGAATAAAAATATTTCATTCAAAATTAATTTAATTTTAATTATCCAGAGCAGGCAGTAAATGTCAAAATGCCCCTTTGCAAGCGATCACTCAAATTGCATAAAGTAGAGTGCAATTTATAAGTGCAGATATAATTAGAATAAATGTACAACCTTATTACATATTACAGTTAAATTGTGAAACCTTTTTAAAAATAGATATATATTTTTACTATTAGAAACATACAATTTATAAATATGATTACATATATAAAATGTACATTTTAATTTGAATAAAATAGTTATATTAAAGGTTAAAATGATCTCACTTATTAAAATGAGCAACATTAGTTTAACAAAATCAAATAGGTATAGTTATCAACAAAATCATTCATAATAGTACCAATTATAATGATTGGATGGATAAGAAAAACAAATCTATGCCATTTTAAATATTATTCTAAAAAATCCAACAATAATTTCTTGTTTACTGTAGTTTTTTTCACTTTTTTACTGATGCTGCTCAAATCTTCAGTAGGAGCACGTTTTTTAGTCTGCAATAAAAGATAAATCTATTATTAAGGAAATCTTCTAGAAACTTAAAGTAAGATCACAAAACAAATTAATTTGTATTGTAAAAAATGCGATATATAAAATTCCAACTACACCCTGACTATTTTTAACAATTTCCAATATATATTTTTTTACTTATTATGTTCTTATATTTTTTATGTATATATAATTCAAATGTGCAATTGTTTTTTTTTTGTTTGCCAGATTTCCTAAAAAACTAAGAACTAAAAAATTGGTAATAAATAACGAAATTGGCAGAGCAACTAGCATTATAGTAAAAAAAAACAATATTTGTAAAACAATAAATTCTAAATATACCTTTTCCTCTATTGACAACTTTTCTGGTGCGGGGCTTAAAGTAGCAAACACAAAGTTTCCCTTTCCTGAACTTCCTAAATTTCTTGAACCATCTGGATCATCCACATTTATTTTTGTAAGAGCTGACAGTCGGGATAGTGTTGCTTCATCTCTTTTTAAAAATGATCCACGATTTGACTGGTAAGTGTAATAATTAAATAAAAGAAGAAATATGAATAGAAAATAAATTGGACTGATTATTCTACTGCAGTTTGATATTCACTACTTTTATAATAATTTAAAATTTGTCAAAGCAAGTTATTTTCTAGTCATTTAGACATGGATATTAAAATTGAAATGAAAATTATGCATTATATATATATACTAGATGACCCGACAGATGTCCTGTACCCATGTCTACAATTCAAAAGTTCAATTTTTTTAATAACCTATACCGATATTTACCAATCACTTAAAAATTATTATGTTTTTTACACTACAGTCTATACCGAAATGTATATACACCCATTAGTTCAGTCATTCAGTAGTTTTACCTAAAGAGTTTTCCGGATGTTTTGAAAATTGGTGATTTAATAGATTTTGATGTGATCTTTACGAATTTCAACTTTGCCACCTCGAATTTTTGCCGCTGCCGCCGCCATATTGGGAAAATTGCGTCAAAAATCAGTTTTTCAACGATATCTCCTTTCTGACTTATGCTACATTAAAATAACTATATACAAAATTAAACTAGACAAAATTTTCTATAATTTATTCAATAACGTTTTTTTCTGTAACATCAATAGTTTTAGCGTACGTGCCCCGCAAAGTTTTTGCTGCTCGCGCTACCATCGGATATATGGCCGCTCTTTGCACTTGAACGCATTCTCTCTAATAAATAAATAATTTCAATGTTGAATTAAGCTTTTCTGCTTAGGTCTGGCCTAAAATTAGCATAAATTAATTATTTTTGTTTTTCATTTTTATTTTTGCTGATGATTGAACATTTGAATCATACAATTCAATGCAAATTTTAAATTGTAAGAATTGTTTTATACTAAATTAAACTAGATTTTTTTATAATTTACTTAATTAACTTTTTACCTCCAGTTTGATGTTCTCGATGGGTCATACGTTATTATTTAATCATCTTCGACGATTGAAACGTCAGGGGTTGCACTATCATCCATATTATCCGCGATTTGATTATCGTCATTGCAAAGTTTTTCGAAAAGGCTGCCTGCGACTTCCTTGAAATCACAGGAATCAGGCCATTTTTGCTTTTTTTTTATCCCTATTGTTCTGCATTTACCTCATTCCCATACCACTGCTGAATTTGGTGATATGTTCAATATTAAACTTAATTTTGTATGCCAATTTTGTAAAATACAGCATATCTAAAGAGGTTTAAAGATATATGTTTTATGACATTCTCATCACTACAACCGTACAATTTAAGAAGGACGCGTTCTCCAGCTGTGGCAATATCTCTGGATCAGCTTTTGGATTTTCAAATATATGGATAACTTCATTTAGATCTTGATTCTTACATAGTGTATTTATATATTTTATTTTACCTTGATTAAAAATTGCTGAAGTTGTATCGCAGCCACTAAAGGCGTGCAAAAGCAATACATGATCTGCAAATGTTTCTTCTATTAGGCTAATTGTAGAATATAATTGTTGCAAAATTTTTTTTCTTCCCGGTTTTAGTAAATATATATTTGAACGCGTTGATATAGCCGTCAACAGGATAAGAAGATCAACATTTTTGCCAATAACTATTACAGAATCAAACATAGTGGAAATGTTAATTGCAGCATTAATTATTAATGTATCCGCATCTTCGGTGGCTTGTTTGATCATAAAGTTTGCAGCTTCAAATTTTAATTCAACATTTCAATGAGACGTTTCTTGTTTAAATCGTTGGCCAGAAATTTATTTTGTGGCACAGCCGGGATCATTGTTTCATCAAAAATTATGTCTACCGAAGCAGTTTTTGTTGATCGCCGGAATCACTCCGCATATTTGATACTACGATGTGTTTACCTTTATTGTCCTTTCTTTGAGCTCCGAATCCGATTTACGAAAAGTGTCCAATCCTCTTTCCTTCACTTCAATCACTTCACTCTATCGCAATGGAGTTTCACAAATAAAACTATTCATGTTATTAGTAGCCAAAAATGAAAATAACACTGGTATACGGAACGATAAAAATATACTGACGTCTAGAAAAAATCCTTCAATTGATTCTGAACATATTATAGAAATGTAGATGTAGAAACGCAGATAATTGACGTTGTGTATTGTTATTCGAAGATAATATGATCTTATGTACAATACGCAGTAATCTATTCGTTGCAATCGAGTTATTGGAACGATTATCGCCAAAGATTAATTAATAATGCGAAATTTACATAAATATTGCCAAAAAAAATAGAAAAATGCATTAAATTGTATGATTTAAAATGTTCAATCATCAGCAAAAATAAAAATGAAAAACAAAAATAATTAATTTATGCTAATTTTAGGCCAGACCTAAGCAGAAAAGCTTAATTCAACATTGAAATTATTTATTTATTAGAGAGAATGCGTTCAAGTGCAAAGAGCGGCCATATATCCGATGGTAGCGCGAGCAGCAAAAACTTTGCGGCGCACGTACGCTAAAACTATTGATGTTACAGAAAAAAACGTTATTGAATGAATTATAGAGAATTTTGTCTAGTTTAATTTTGTATATAGTTATTTTAATGTAGCATAAGTCAGAAAGGAGATATCGTTGAAAAACTGATTTTTGACGCAATTTTTCCAATATGGCGGCGGCAGCGTCAAAAATTCGAGTTGGCAAAGTTGAAATTCGTAAAGATCACATCAAAATCTATTAAATCACCAATTTTCAAAACATCCGGAAAACTCTTTAGGTAACAGCTTTTTTTTGCACCAAATGACTGGGCTACATATGGGTGATCTAAATGTACAACTGCTTTAAATAAAATTATCAGTCACATAAAACCATCAAACAAACAAATATTGAACTATGTTCAATAAAATAGTATATTAGAAATATACACTACAATTAATGCCGAAGGTTATCTAATATTTTTAGTCATACCTGTAGATGTAGATGTATAAATAAATGATTTTTTGTTTATTAACGACTAAAACATTGAATTTCCAAATTTATCACAAAAAAAATCATCGTCTGCCTTTGTGATGTATTTATGGTCATAGCTTTAGATACACGTGTTGAAAATTGTAAGTGAAAGAACTAATGTATAGCATTCGCGGTGAAGGTACAATATGACCTTGGATTTTTCTACCCAAAATAATTGCTTCAATAATGTTGCCTATAATTTTTATAACTAGGTACCATATTTTAACTGGCTTTTAGTAATTTTAATATCTAAATTACATTTTTCTCACTAATAATTCAATATACATTATTACTCAAGTTCATATTTGAAGTGAATTAATTTGTCCAAACGTGTTCACATGTGCTCTATTCAACCTACGATCAACAAAATTGGGGAGAGGAAAAAAGCGTGTGCCCAGCGAATTTTTTTTACTGTGGTCCAATTTGCGTGATATTTTGGAAATTTGATTGGAAATCGGCTGTTAGTAATTTACGATCTAAATTAAATTTTTTCACTAATAATTCAATATACATTATTAAGTTTATATTTGAAGTGAATTAATTTATCAAATCCTGTTCACATGTGCTCTATTCAACCTACGATCAACAAAATTATTGCAGTAAATGGAGAGGAAAATAGCATGTGTCGGAAATAGGCTAATCTTTATCTTAAGTTCAAAAGTGAAAACAATTTGCACTTCGTCACCACTCACCACATTAATTGGATTATAACTCTCTTAATTCTGATTTTATCAGTACTTGCAATTCACTATTTTAAAGGTAATTAAATGAGCTATAACTTTCTCTATCATAAATTTTACCGTAACTTCTCTTATTTTGAAATGGCAAAGGATTGAAGGACTCGAAAGACACTCTGGTTGGAGACTATCAATATTTTTGTAACAAAAAAATAATAAAAAGCAATAATTGGTCAGTAAAAGACCTTGAATTTTCATTTATATACCTTTATACGTATCTTTTATTTTTTCAAATAGATTTTTTTTCATGAAATCATGAGCTTTTTGAAAATCGTTTGCACTAAAGTTATGGTATTTTCTGGAATCCGTCAAGATCTCTTAAACCAAGTTGATTCCAGAGAGAATACGATTATTTTTAAATTTGGTGGAAATGGCACTCAAAAACTATTTGCTTTAAATGAAAAAAATATTGAATGCATCTTTTATCTGCATGATAGCTCACTCAATTTACACTCAGAAGTACTCATTTTAAAGCTCATTTTGAGTACTATAAAACCCCATTTTCTTTCTAGCCTAACATTGTTCCCAAAACAATTTCTAGAACACCGATTTATTAGGATTTTAATTGATATAATTTTGTTCATTAGATGATTTTCGTTTAAATGTATATTTTTAGAAATATTTGCAAAAAACGATGAAAAACGCAAAAAACTTTCAAAAATTTTCAGTAGCCAGTAACTTGAAAAGTAATTTCTTTTGTGAAAAATATTATCAAACATTTTTCTCTTCTAATTAGTTCTTTTATTGATATCCGACGTTAGTTTGAAAGAGATACACCACTGAAAAGGGATATCATCCCCCCGGGAAGTGGCAAATGATTCTAAGTTATTTTTACTTTTAAACTTGAGAGTAAGATGAACCTAATTCCAAAATTTCATGCAAATTGGAGCACATTAAAAATATTCAGACCCAAAATGCTCCATTGTCTTGATCCAATGCCAAGCATATGAATTTTTGACACAATGAAACTTCTAAATAATTATTTGAATAAGTATATTATTTTTGTATCGTGATTTAGTAAAGTAAGGCAAAACGCGACTGTATTTAAAAGTTAAAAAATAATAATCAGTCAAAGTGATATATAGGCTAAGTTTGATGTGCGATCACTGACAGACGCATGCGCAGACTGCATCACCTGCTAGACGCATGTTGACTGTAAATCTTATATTATTTTAATTTTTGGCACATTTCAGCTGCTTTTTGGCGATAATAATGTAGTCATTACGTTTTTCTTATTCATAATCATAAATATATTATATTTTGATATTGTCTTAGCCTATAAGTGAATGCAAATGTTTGGCAAATGA